TATCGTCATTATTATTATTATTATTATGTAAAATACTTATATATTATACATACATATATTGGTATAACAATATATATATATATATATAGTAGACTATACTGACAATAAATGGGTGATTCAGGTGAATGAGAAATTCAATCATCACCAGTGTTTGCATATGTCATCGCTTAGTATATACTGTATATATATATATATATATATATATATACAGTAGTATACCAGTGCCACTGTCTATGTGTGTGACATTACCTGGGAGTGTCGTCTAATGGATTGTCCGACAATATACTGTATATATTATATAAGAGTGAGAGTGACTGATAGAGAGAGAGAGAGAGAGAGAGATACTGATGAGAAAAATCCTAGAAAGAGAGAGTCAATGGATCAGACAATCAATATGTTATGTTTAACACAGTTATTCATATATCAAATAATATGTATTAAAAAAAAAAAAAAAAAAATTCAAATCCCAATACCTGAGTGACAATAGTGTCCCACAATATATAGACAATCTATAAATATATAGTTTATTTTGAAGAATAGATTTATAATATCGTTTGAGTAGCATTTATATCCATAAATCTCTCTCTCACTATATATATATATAGGTACTATATATTTGGTAAAGTAAGGGAATGGGAGCTTTTAGGGTTAAGGGATGGGAACAACACACACAAATACGATAACCGATTACAATAATAACATGTTTTAATCGACAGCTATTATTATATCATATATATTCAAGAAAAAAAGTATTATATATATATAAGTGATGTCTAAGATCTGAGAGAGAGAGAGAGAGAGAGAGAGAGAGAGAGAGAGAGAGAAGAGAGAGAGAGCTTTATGTCGAGAGGTCATAGGAGACGACATTTGGATATATAATAGCATTTTTGCTATTTTGTTGCACTTTTGCCATTATTTTGTATGCTCTCTCTCTCTCTCTCTGTTAAAAGCAATATATCTATTATGTGTGTCATAGATATATATATTTTTCAATACATTATATGCTCCATATATCATATTATGGGAAAAAAATCAGGGCTTTCAAAAAAATAAATACATATACCTGTAGTATTGAAATTATATTGAAACGGTTTTTCGCGCAATTTTAAACTTTCTCTCTCTCTCTCTCACTCACTCTCACTATTTTATTACATTAATGACAATAAATTTATATTGTTTTCTCTCTCTCTCTCTCTCTTAACATTTTTTTTAAGTACAACAAACAAATAGTAATTATTATTTTCCATAATTTTTTTTCTGTTCCCATGTTTTCATTAGTTTTAACAGTTAAAAGTGAAAATCAAGTGTTTGTGTGTTGTTGTGATGTATTTAATAGACTAGTGAATAGATTTTTTAAATACTAATTATCGGGATATCCAATCCGAAACTTATTTTATTATTTTTATCTATCTATATATAACTTAATAGTCTATTTAATTAATAGTTAAAACAAAAATTTTAAACAATAAATTACTTTTTTTTAATATAGAAAAACAATTTCCAATAAATAGACTAATAGTAATAATAATATTTTCTAATAGTATTCAACATTACCCGTCAATTTTATTAATTTATCAAATTTATATTGCATATATTTTTTTGAGGGGGGGGGTAAATTAACTATCAATTACAGGGTTAATTAGTTTTAATTTATTTTTCAAATATATATTTTTTTATAAATTAGTTTAAAATCTCATTTTAACCAAATCTATGGGTTGTTTTGCAACTCTCTAGTGTGCGTTTAGCATACATAACACGACACTGTTTTGTTAAATAAAATATTTATTAAAAAAGGGGGGAATTGTTGTAATTTTTTTCCTCAAACACATACCAAAACTTTCCCTTTAATAATAATAATAATATTTAAAAAAAAATGTTTGCAAATAAAATACAATCATTTGCTCATTTGAAATGCAATTTGAATTTAAAAACTAAATTGTAATTTCTATCCTATTTTGCACACAAAAAATAATTTGCTTAACGATTCAATCAATCAGTCAGTCAATCATATAAATGTTTTAAAAAAATAATACTAAATATTTTTTTTGTTAATTTTAAAATTTTAAAGTTTTTTTTCTCTAAAATATTTTTGAATTAACATGTTTTAAATATTTTGATTAAAAGTTTTGACAAAATTATATATATATATATTTATCATTTTTATCAAACAAAACAACAAAACAATTTCATTCATAATATAATAATAATAATATTTATATATCATTAACCAAAAAAAAAATTAGGAGATATTTTAAAACATGATTTTTTTTAACCAAATAATAATAATGATAATTATCTGTAAAAAAAAATAATGATTATATATATATAACAATAATAATTAGTGGTCTCTATTTTGATATAATTTATCAAGATAAAATCTATAAAAAAAATAATAATTAAAAATAAACTAACAATTTTCAACTAAAAATAATTTTAAAAAATTTAAAATAAATAAAAAAAATAATTAGTAGCTTGATAATGTAGCTTCTATTAATTAACTAATTTTATTATTTTATTTTTTAATAAAACAAAATTTGTATGTTTTGTTTAATGAACAAACAAACAAACAAACAAAACAAAAAATAATAAATTAAAAAAATATTTAATAATTTTCATACAATTTTTTTTAATCACTGTATACTTAACTACACTATACTGTAATATTGTAGATAATTTACTACAATATATTAATACTATATAATATATAGTATATATACCCTTAATTGAGATCATACAGTGTATTAGGGAAACCTACTTAAACATATATATTTAATTTATTATACATATATATATATATAAATTTATATATGAATTATCCTAAACAAACACAACACAAATAATAATAAATAATATAATAATAAACGACATTTTATAAATTTAATACATAAGTTAATAAATATATATAAAAAATATATAAATCATTTTTCTACAGTTTAATTTTATTATTATTATTACTTTCAATTGTTTTTAATCATCATTTTTTGTTTGTTTGTTTGTTTGTATTTTATTGCATAATAGTAAATCACTTTATTATTTAGTAAATTTTTGTTGTTGTTACATAAGTAACACGATATTAGTGGAAGTATATATTATTATTTTTTAAAAATAAATATATATATATATATATAATACAAACATATATTTTTTGTGAGTGTGTGTTGGGGTAAATATCAATAAAGTTTATATCAAATATCAAAGAGAGAGAGAGAGAGACTTATAATATAGAGAGTCCAACAAAATTATATAACATTTTTTTTGACTATATTTTTATGACCGATCCATATATATATATATATATTTTATAACATAAAAACATACATAAAAAACATTACTATATATTATATACACTGAAATCCTTGAAATTCCTGTAATTTTTTTCCGTGTAATGGTATTCAAACACAACAAACAATATGTTTGACAATAAAATGCACACTAAAAAAAAACCTTATTAATAAATACCAAAATCAAAAAACATAATATCTCTATATATATAAAAAAAATGATCCAAAGTTTTATATATATATTTAACATAATTTCTATAAACATTTTTTTTTATGATATAATTTTTTGTTCAAATTTCTATTTTTAGTGGTCACACATATTTTTTATTTTCTATTCAATTCAAACACACGTTTAACACATACATACAAACACACACACACATCAACAACAACAAAAAACTTATTAATTAAAACCTCAATTTGATGTACAAAAAAAAACATCTGTCAAATACATGGCTTATTAGCGCTCAGAGATAACACGCTTTTATTTATTATTTAATAAATTTAATAATTTTTTTTTTTTTTGATGAGACAATTGATGTATTATTTATTATGTAATAAATAATTAGAATATAAATTCAATAAATTATTTTATTTTTTAAAAATAATAAATACTAAATGTAAAATACATTTAAAATTATTATCAATTTTTTTTTAAAAAAATATAAACAAATTGGTTCAAATTTCAAATTTACAACAACAACAAAATTATAACAATTATGGAGGTCAACCCTAACAACAACACACCTAATTACTTGACCAACAAAAATATCTATACCTAACCTACACAATACACACCCACAAATATAACACCCAATTTTTATGCCCGGGATATATATATATATATATATATATATATATAAATGATATGAGAGACCCAACTATCACACCACTAGTCTATTAGTTGATAGTGTATAAAATATTTACTGTATATATATATATATATATATCAATGTATATCACACACACACACACTTTGATTTAATTTCACTGATAATTTAATATCTATTTTTTGTTGTTGATTAAAATAAATAATTTAATGGTAATCACATAAACATATAACACACACACACACACACAAAATAAAAAGTTAAATCAAAAAAATAAAATAAATTTTTTCTCACTAAATAATCAGTATATTATATAAAAAAAAATTCATATACGCCATACATTTTGTTTTCAATATAAATATTATATATATATATATTATCAAACATTTATATCAAATTATCATCAATACTAACAAACAGTTTAGTTCATAATAATCATAATTTTAATAATATTTTTAATTTCAAACATTTGTGTGGGCATTAATAAATTATTAGTTAATTTTTTAAAAAATAATAATAATAACCAATATATTTAGCAAAAAAAAAATATTAACTAATATTAACTGATAATCAAATAATAATTTTGATAACTGATAGCTAACTAAATATTACTAAAAATATAATAATAATAAAACAGTATTTTTTTCTAAATCATATGATAGATATAACTATCGCTTAATAAATATTAAGTAAACCAATAGAAAATAAAAACTTTTAATTTTTTGTTTTGTTTAACTAATTATTATTATTATTATTAACTAACTAACTAACTAACTAACTAACTAATTATCATCAAACAATAATAACCAATATTAACCAATAATTAGTGTTCAGACCCAATGATTGACCAAAAAATTTATATAAAAAATCAATTATTATAATGACATACATGCGGGTGGCCTCTGGTCATCGTCGTCGTCATCGTCGACGCCGCCACCGATCATTATCTCGTCGGCTTCGGGCGATCCAACACTAGACGGCTGCAGTACAGCCACTTGTGTGGCCCCGACTACTACTACGGCACTGTCTGAACCGTCAATTGTTGTTTGTTGGTCACCGCCGCCGCCACCACTACTTTGTCGGCCATTATTATTGTTATTATTATTATTATTATCGATATCTATATTATTATTACTATCTTTGTTTGTATTACTATTGATGCCATTGTTGTTGTTGTTGTTGATGTTGGCCTCACTGTTATCGGCGGCACCACTGTTGTTGTTGACCACAACAACAGCCGTCGTCGTTACCGATGACGCACTACTGTTGGCCACCACTGATGTCAACATTGTTTGTGTTAACTTTTATTTTTAAAAAAAATCTCAGTCAATATATATGTGATTATATAATATATGATAATCTCTTTCAGTCGTCACGTTGTTGTTGTTGTTGTTGTTGACGATAATGTCGTCGTCGTCCTCATCGACATCGGGACGACAACAGCTGTTGTAGCAGACACTACCTAAACCACCGCAACTTCTTCTTCTTCTAAACGACTTCTTCATCAATGGTAGTATCTATTGGTTGGTTGGTTGTTGTTGTTGTCGCTGATGATAGTGTTGTTGTTGTGGTAGTAGTGGTGGCACTGTTGGTGTTGTTGTTGATTATCCTCACACACACTGACTGACTGACTGACTGACAGGTGTGGTGGTGGTAGTCCTGCCTTCCTCTTAGCGATGATCGTCGTCGCACGTGTTGGTGTTGGTGGTAGTGATGATGATAATGGTTGACTACATACCAGACCTCCTCCTACTTTCCCCCTACCAAACCATACATACACAGACACCACCAAAGTGTTTGGTATGTATTATATGATAACAACAACAACAACTATCCTGAAGACGACTTTCCTTTTCATATACAGAAACACTTCCAGCACTTCCACAGTGGGTAGTCGTCAACAACAATATAAAAAAACAGATACACAACACACAAACACACGGACTATACCATCATTTGATGAGATAATTGATTAGCTGATCCCAAATATATACTCTGTAGGCCTGACTGATGGTTATTATGATTGTTGTTGTTGTTGTTGTTGTTGTTGTTGTTGTTGTTGTTGAAGACCTCTTGTAATGAGAAAAATCAACAAAAAAAAACCAAAAAACAAAACTAAAACAACAAAACTAACGATCAAAACGAGAGTTCACTTTCGTCTTCAATATATATATATGTATTACTGTATGAAATGTATGATATTTTTTCTGTGTTGTGATAACTATCTCTCTCTCTCTCTCTGACTCTCTCTGACTCTCTCGCGATGTTAACCTACAGGCGCTCTGTACTACTGGTGCCACAAACAACTAACACATACAACAAACAATATACAGCATAACCTGAAAGGGCGTACCATTCATACCGTCACATATACTATGAGAGAGAGAGAAATACATAACATATATATATTGTAATACTCTCTCTCTCTCTCTCTTTCAGTATATTAGTAAATGTTAGGAGAATAGAGTCGAGAATAACATGTTGTAAATAAAGTGATTTTTGGTTTTTATATACAAGTTGTATGAAAACCGAACCGACAAATATATATATATATTATGTATTTTATATATTTTTTTAAAAATATAAATTGAAACTTAATTAGTCTATTATTATTTAAATATTATTTTTTTTAATAAACATTATATTTAGTTTTTAATTTTTTAATTTTTTTAATAAATCAAAAAACCCCCCTAGTTGACTTTTTTTTAATAACCGAACCGTTTATATATATATATATACATGTCTAGCCTTAGTGCATAGTGTATTGTCAAGTGTAATGCCTGTAATGTTTACGCACACTCTCACTATCGTCAATACAACAAATGTATGGCACAGTTATGCTGTAACACATTGTGTGTGTGTGTGTGTGTGTGTGTGTGTGTGTGTGTGTGTGTGTGTGTGTGTGTGTATGAGAGAGGCGTATTGGGAAAGGGGGGGGGCTTGTCATAAACATATCGGTTAGTACCCTTAAAACACTAACCTTTAAAAAAAATCAGCTAACTTCCCCCCCCCCCCACTTTCATCTACCCTACCTTATACCCCCCCACACACACACTGGATACTAATCCCCTGCTGAACCTGAATACCCGGGATATATGTGTGTCACTAATGTGTGTGTGTGTTGTGTTTATCCGTAACTTTATTTGTGAACAGTGTCTATTTTTATTTTATATGCATGTTAAAAATTAGTAAAATTATCTAAAGTTTTTTTTTTAATATATATTTATCATAGAAAAGTAATCTGTAATGTATAACTAAGGGGGGAAGGGATGGGGATTCTACCCTACCCAACCCCCCCATTTCCCGCTATCTCCTATACTAAACAAACTTCAGCAAGTTTACTTTTTTTTTAGTTTTAATATCATATCACAAGTTATTAATTAAAACTAAAAATTTATAAAAAAAAGAACATTTTTAGAACACATTTATCTTTTTTCTTTAAAAATTTATTTAATTTTAATTTTAACAACAAAAATCTAATCTAGTTGAGTTTTAGAAAACTTTTTAACAATTTTTTAAAAAAAAATTATTAATTATGTATATTAACTAGTTTTATTTGGTTACCATAGTTACCAATTGGGTGGCACTTGTCATAAAAATGTTTTTTCGATTTTAAATATACAAACGTTGCCATAGAAATATATATATGTATGTACATTGTACAATAGGGCAATTTGTATATATATATATACAGAGTGTACACTGTATATACATGTAATTTTTTTTCAAGGATAACTGCCAGTAGCTTATATTGTATATATATATATATATATATAGGATATACATGTATATATACAGTGTTTATATCTATGTACACACATATATATACACCTTATATACGACATTTTGTTTGGTTGGTTTGGGTTGGTATAGGCGCTTACAATTATTGTATGTATACTGTACTGTACTATACTATACTATACTACTAGTGCTATATAATATACAGGCGCTAAGCGATCGTCGTTCTAGTTATACGAGTCGCTCAGTCGCCTGCAAAATGGGTCACCAGTACAGAGCAAAGTGAGAGTGCTATGAGTGTGTGTATGTGTGTGTGTGATGTGAGGTACGGCTATATGACTGGAAAGTTAGTTATTTAGGAGAGAGGGATGTCGTATATGTGTGTGTGTAAAGTGCACACATAGTTATAAGATGTTGGAGAGAGAGAGAGAGAGAGAGAGAGATGGAGTGCCAAATGATTTTTATTGATTTTACTTACACTTTACGGCTATGTATGTATGTATGTATGTATGTATGTGTGTGTGTGTGTGTGTGTGTGTGTGTGTGTGTGTGTGTGTGTGTGTGTGTGTGTGTGTATGTATGTGTATGTATGTGTGTATGTGTGTATGTGTGTATGTGTTTGTATGTGTGTGTTTGTATGTGTGTTTATGTGTTTGTATGTGTGTTTATGTGTTTGTATGTGTGTGTATGTGTATGTGTGTGTATATATGATATGTGTGTCTGTATGTGTGTGTGTGTGTGTGTGTGTGTGTGTGTGTGTGTGTATATGATATGTGTGTCTGTATGTATGTGTGTGTGTGTGTGTGTGTGTGTGTGTGTGTGTGTGTGTATGATATGTGTGTCTGTATGTGTGTGTATGCGTGTGTGTATATGTATGTATGTATGTATGTATGTGTGTGTGTATGTGTGTGACAGTCAGTCAGTCAATGTGTAGACAATATACACCACTTAAGTGTCTATACAATCAAATTATATACACAAATATATATAACTTCTTTATATAACACATGATATAAGCCATTAACTGGTTATATATACGGTATATATATAACACTAATAAAATTACAGTATATTTATATATAGAATATATGTATGTCTATCAGCACATGTAGCTGATTCTGTATATAAACCTTTTTTTTTATAGCTACCAGTGCTCTCTCTTTCACCGCTTACAGAATCTCATTGATTGCCAAAATATCCTTAACCTTAGCCTATATTACTCTTGTGAGGTCTCTCTCTCTCTCTCTCTCTCTCTCTCTCTCTCTCTCTCTCTCTCTCTCTCTCTCTCTCTCTCTCTCTCTCTCTCTCTCTTTCTTTGATTTTTTAATTATTATTTAATATATAAAACACATGTCTATACTGTACTATAGATTATAATTCAAAATTTAAAAATTTTATTTCATTTCATTATATCATCTTTTTTTAAATAAAAAAAAAGATGAAAATCTTTTTAAATTTTTTTACTTTATTTTATTTTTTTTTTTTTTTTTGATCAAAGAGAGAGAGAGAGAGAGAGAGAGAGAGAGAAAGAGGACTAGTATTTCACGGGAAGTACTTATATATATATATATACTGTATTTTTTGTGGATCAGTAAAGGGGGTGAAAAACTAGTAGTTTTATAGCTAGGATTGGGTCACTAGGATTGCACTACTAATACTTCAAAGTTATTGAAATAATTTATATTATAAATTATTATTGAATAGTAAGTACAGTATTATTATTACTAATAATTTTTTAGGAAAATACTATTCAAGTTTGCAAAAACATGATTAAATGAAAAATAAAATTAATATATAATTTAATACTCAATATATATATATATTTATAAATTAAACACAAATATTATTAAGGAATAATAATAATAATAATAATAATCAATGTATTTAATAAATGTATGTTTTCTTTATAGAATAAATGTATTGAATGTTTAAAGTTTGTTTAAAATAAAAATAATAAAATTTAAAATAAAAACAAAAATATATATAAAAGTGATTTTGACATTCAATTTGTTTGGTAATACTATTTTATCGCTTAAGAAATATATAATAATAAAAATAAAATATTTATTTTTGTTTTTCACAATATAAAAAAACCGGTTTCATATATAAATAAGGTATATATCTGTATATATATATATATATAATAGTTTTATATAATTATTTTATTTACTTTTATTTTCATTTCATTTACAATAATAATAATAATAATAAAAATCAAATAAAATATATTTATATTCAATATATATATATATATATAAAGAATTTGCTTAATAATATTAAATAAAGTATAATAATGTTAATAATAATAATAATAATTGGGAGTAAAATTTTATTTAACATATATATATATATATATGTATATATATATACTGTATATTCTTAACATATGTTTTTATATGATTATTATCAATATTTAATGAATTAAGAAAAATTGAATGCAAATATAATTATATACTTTTTATTATTTTTGATTTTATAATTTGATTGAAAACCAATGAATGTTTTTTATATATAAAAGACAATATTAAATACAAATATAATTATTATTTTATAGTTAAAAATCCCATTAATGGCATATTTAGCACATTAGCTGCCAGTGTATATAATTTTTTTAAAAATAAATACTATACAATATAATTAGTACTATTATATATATTAATATTTTTCTATTCAATTTTATTTAATAATAATAAAAAATTATTATTAAAATTTATACAATTTAACCTATAACAATTTATTTTAATTGTATTTGTTATACTCCAAAAAATATATATATATTATAAAATATTTATTTAGATTTATATATTTGAAATAATACTGTTTTAATAAAAATTTAAATAAATTTAAATATTCTTATAAGTAATGATTTTATATATTTTGTTATTTTTTAAGAAAAAAATATTGTCATCAGTTTGTAATATTATTAAAATATTTAACTATTAAAAAATAAACATTATTTTTTATTAAAATATATGCATATTATTTTTATTATTATTTTTTCTTATATCATCATTATTGTTATAATATATTTTTTATTTAATAAAAAAAATGAAAATATCATTATTTTATCTATAAATCTATAGTAAATTTTTAACTACAAAAATAATGTCAAAATATTATATTCAAAAATTTTAAAAAATTCATTTTTAATAAATTTTTAATTATAATATGAAAAATGAATAATAAATATATAAATATATATATTCTTAAAATAGATATTAAAATACGACTGTATATACTGTTATAAAGTATATATAAAAATATCATTTAATTATATCTTAATAATCATAATCATAAATTTTTAGTGATTATAATTTTTTGGAAATTCCCATTTGTATATTAAAAATTATTTGCAACTTATATACTGTATATTGTAATAATATAATTAAGTTTCAAATTAAAAATCTTAGTTTTAGTTAAATATTTTTTTATATATATATATAGTTTATATTAACAAAAAATTGATTTTTTTTGCTTATCTTTATGTTTACATAATATACTGTATTTTTTTCATTTAAGTATTTAGTGGTAAATAAAAAATTCAATTTAAATAGATATATTCATTACTGATAATTATTTTATTTTTTTTATATAAAAAAATACTATACTGTACTGTAAATGACTATTCAAATCAAT